CTGGTTCTTGAGCTTGATTATAACTATGTCCCTACGAGCTATACCCAACCAAACCAAACCCACTGCCACCAAGTAGATTCTGACTCATAGCAACCCTATCACTTTCATTTTCCCAAGAATGTAGGCTGTTGTGGGCCAGACTCTGGACCATATTACCTGCCTAAAGTAGGGAATGCTGTCTGCTTAGTGAAATTTCTTTCACTGTTTAGTTCACTGAGTTCCAGGCAGGGACTGGTTCTAGACAGTATAGCAGTGAACAAGATAGATAAGGTTCCTATTCTGCATCTTAGATTTCAAGTTGGGAGAGGTAAATTAGTAAACATACATGAACAAGATAATTTGAGGTAGTAATAAGTGTTTTTTATCATATTACCAATTTTTCTTACTTTTCCCCATAAGAAAATGTGGATCATTCATTTCCTTACCTTAAATTTCTACATTTAAGTTTTTAAATAAAGCTAATGCTGGTAAAATTAGTCTTATGCTAGTACTTACTTTGAACTTTTCACTGGACTGTTTTTGAGGGTGTGGATTATTTTCGACATCTTTTTATTCTTACCATAGTCACCAATGTATGTTGACTTTGTTATAGGAATAAATTAAGAGCCCTGCTGCTGTCTAAAATACTCAGAAACACTCGTAGGCTGAAAGTAATTTTGTTTCTCTTTTCTTCATCCAGAGCCTTATCTGATAGCAAAGTTATAGGCTCATAATGTAACCAGGAAAGAAAGCTTGCCCAAAATGAAGTTACATGAGCAAAGGCTCAGAGGCTTGGAGAATAACTAATAGCCTTCATGATTGGCATATGAAGTTTATGTTTGGCAAGGGCAGGAGATGAGGCTAGGCCGAAGTTCGATTTTAAAGGTCCTTTAATGCCTGCCAGAGATTTTTAACGCTATAGGAGATTCCTGTCATAAGTTGAGGAAAGATACCTCTGACATTATGGAGGCTGGACACTTTGCTCAGTGCTTCCTTCTTGTTCACTTTCTTGTATGTGTGCATGTTTGTCTTTTTCAGTGGATTGTAAACTCCTTTGAGGTCTGCCTTAATTATTTGTTTTCGCATTCCAATCCCCCAACCTCCTTTTTTCCTAGCATTTAGTAGCTTTGGAATGAGGTGAGAAATAAATAGATATCCAAGGATTAAAATATTTGTTTACTCCTTGTCTTTGGTGAGAAAAGCCAATGGAGAGTGCCTTTCCTGTCTTAATCTCTTCTGTAGGTAAATATTTTTTGTTTTTACTTTGGATGTGCCATTTCATTATTCTGGAAGCTCATACTATAGTTAAATGCCTTTACCATAAATATTATTGTAAATAAATAAAACACCTTTAAAAACAACTTTTGAGCCATAGATGCAAAATTACTTATTTCAGCAAGTATTTTATACAACCAGACTCATTCTACCATTTTTAGATATTATGCAAGTGTAGTTGTAGTTGTCTTTTTTTTCTTTTTTTAACTAACCAAAAAACCAGACCCGTTGCCGTTGAGTTGATTCTGACTCATAGCGACCGTACAGGAGAAACAAAATTTTCAATTTAGGTCTATAGAGAAAGGCTACTAGGTCTGTTAAACTTTTATGTTATTGACTAGGTTAAGCAACAGTGAAGTAACATTAACTTGTTTTAATTGATTTTTCTGGTTTGCTATAGAATTACATCACTTAGATTATACGTACTTGGATACGATATTGCAATGAGTTTTGCTTGCAGCTGAGCTTTTCTTCTGTGGTCCCTGGGTAGCTTTCTCAGCTATCTTTGTTACTGTGATGGAGCAGTGACTACAGGCAGTGTTCTTGGCTTAGCTCATTTGTTAAAATCATAGCATTTGATTTGAATGACTATTATTATTATAGTATATTAATCTTTTATAGTGGCTAATTTCTGTGGGAAAAAGTTGCAGAATATAAATACAGTCAGTCCCCAGCTTAATGATCTTTTTGAACTTTTTTTTTTTTTTTTTGAGTTATTACCTTAGTGGTTGCTCTAGGGCTTACTGTATGCACTAAAACCTGCAAAAGCCGGAACCTGTGTCAGGTGGAAACCTGCCAGAGAAGGAAAATGCAGATATTTTCCACTAAAACAAATGATAGAAAAGTGATAAGAAGGCACCCTGTCAAAGGCAGAAAACTTACGAGACCCAGAAAAACATGGCAGTCCCATTGAATTCTGGCTCTCACAGGTCTCACTATATATCTTATCAGCTTCAAATTTATACTGACTTAATTCTAGTGAAGTAATAGAAACATTACTCCTATGTAGCTCTATTTCCTTTACCCCCTTTTTGTGGTATTATTGTTAAATATTACTTCTATAAATGCTATAAACACAATGATATGTTGTTATAATTGTTACTTTATATAATTTTATACCTTTTAAAGAAGCAGAGAGATGAAGGGAGAGCAAGTGTATGTTTATAGCTTTTTTTATATTAACCTTCTTATTTATCTGTTCTGTTACTCTTAGTTTATTCCTTTGGATTTGTGTTACCATCTGGTGTCATTTCCTTAGCCCAATACTGCTTTGCCCCCACCCCTTCTTCGTGCTGCTGTTGACAAATAATGTTGCATTTCTATATATCATAGGCCCAACAATACGTTATATACAAACTGATTTATACAGTTGCCTTTTATATCAGTTAAGAGAAGAAAGGTGAAGAAATATGCATTTATGCTGTCTTTCATAATTATATCATTTACTGGTGCTTTTTGGTTTTTAATGTGAATTTTAATTACTATCTGAGATCACTTGTTTTCTGCCTGAAGAACTTCATTTGGTATTTCTTTTTTTAAATTTTATTTATTTTGTTGTTGCAAATATACACAGCAAAACATACACCATTTCAACAGTTTCCACATGTACAGTTCAGTGACAATGATCACATTCTTGGAGTTGTGCAACCATTCTTACCTTCCTTTTCTGAGTTGTTCTTCCCTTATTAACATAAACTCACTGCCCCCTAAACTTCTGTCTGATCTTTCGAGTTGCCATTGTCAGTTTGATCTCATATAAATAGATCTTGAAAGAGTACAGTGCTCAAGGCAGACGTTCTTTACTAGTTAAGCTAAACTATTGTTTGGTTTGAAGAAGATTTCAGGGGATATTTCTGGTTTTATAGGATTCTGGGTTTTCAGTTTTGTTTTGTTTTTTTCCTTTAAACACTTTGAATATGTTATTGGTGCCTTCTGGTCTCCCATTATTTCTGATGAACGATTAAGCTGTTTATGCTAGGTAAGTGATAAGTCATTTTTATCTTAACTGCTTTCAAGATTTTCTCCTTGTGTTTGGCTTTCAGCATTTTTATTATGATGTGTCTGTGGATCTCTTTGCGTTTTTTCCTACTAAGAGTTCGTTGAACTACCTGTATGTGTAGGTTAATGTCTTTAAATTATTCAAATATTTTTTCTGGTGCTTTGTCTCTCTCCTCTCCTTCTGCTATACGTATGTTAGTGTGCTTAATGGTCTCCTTATTTCTCTGAGGGTGTGTTCATTTTTCTTCTTTTTTCTCTCAGCTCTTTGGATTGCATCATTTCAGTTTATCTTCAAGATTGCTAATTCTTCTGTCAGTTCAAATCTGTTGTACTCTATTCAGTTACTATACTTTTCTACTCCCAAATGTCTGGTTCTTTTTTCAAATAATTTCTCTCTCTCTGTGGATACAGCATTATCATCTTACCTTCCTTTACTCCTTTAAACATGGTTTCCTTTAGTTCTTTGAACATGTGTATAATGACTACTTTGAAATCTTTGCCTGTAAGTCTGACACCTGGTTGCTCTCCCAGGCAGTTTCTATTGCCTGTCTTTTTTTCCTAGTGCATAGTTCATACTTTCTTGTTTCTTGAATCTTTCATAGTTTTTTATTGGAAACTGGACATTTTAGATAATATGTTGTAGCCACTGTGGGTACTAGACTTCCACTCTAGGACTTGTTATTTGCTTATTACTTGTTTAGTGACTGGCGTGATTATTTTAATGATGTTTACTCCCTCTCCGCTGTCTATCTCCTCCTTCCCTCTAACCAGTGTGAAGCCTCTGATGTTCTTCAGGGACTGCAGCCTTGAGTATGCCTGTAGTTGTTCTGGTATGACAGTGGCTTTGGTAGGACTCTCTTTAACTCTTTCCCTGATCACATGTACCTTTTGTTGTGTGCATTTATACTGCCGCATAGGGTTTCCTAGGCTGAAATCTTTATGGTAGAAGGTTGCCAGGTCTTTTCCACAGAGCCGCTGATGGCGTTCTCACCACAGACCTTTGGGTTAGCGACTGAGTGCTTTTTGGGCCAGGAGGGCTTCTTACCTAGCTGTTAGGCTCCACTAATTGTCACCTGATTGCCACCTGATTGCCATGTTGTTTTCAACAATCCCCTGGAGCACAAATTGCTCCACAAATAATGCAGTCAAACCAATCCAGTCAAATTCAGGCTCTTTTGAAAGAATAGTTCTAGAGGTCAGTGTTTGAGATTTTTCCTGAGCCCCAGAGGGCTCCTTCTAGCTATCTCTTTTGTCAAAATAGCTAGCCTGCAATTCAACCTTTATCTAACTGAGTTTATTGATTTCCTCCCAATTGCCGTTAGTAACAACCTTCACTGTTTTTGAGAGCCTCCCTTAGGCTTATGATTGGGAGGCAACTCAAGGCAAGGAGACTTCTCCTGATGATGTAGCCTCAAGGGCTGGTGAACCCAAGATGGGCAGGTCGGAGAGCAGGGCTCTTGCTCACAGGCTGTGAAGATTGATGAATTCCAAGAGTGACAGGCAAGACTGCAGGTAAGCTGCTAGCTCAAGTCCCAAGAACTGGAGGTCACATGAACAGGAGCCAGTTGCAGGATTCAGAGTAGACAAAAGCCAGAATGTCCAGTTATATTTGGATGCAGGCCACATGACCAAGAAAACTCGCTTTCAGCTGATTGGCTACTCACAGCAGATCCTATCATGGGAGTGATCACATATCAGATCGCAACAGGGAAGTGATCACAACATTATATAACTGCCGAACACAGAATCATGGCCCAGCCAAGTTGACACAGTCTTAACCATCACAGTATTTAAGCATATAATAATAAGTTAATGAATATTGTCCCCTCTACAGTGATAGTATCTTGAATCTCCTTCTACAACTTGTTTTGAACAAAACATAAAAAAGCTTGGCTACCTACAAATGTGAATGCTAATGTGTGTATAACACTTTTTACCTAAGGGATCTCAGTCTGTTTGAACTGTCTTTAGTGAAGTAAAGGAGCCCTGGTGGCTGCTAACTGAAAGGGCAACAATTCGAACCCACCAGCTGCTCCACAGGAGAAAGACGTGGCAGTATACTTCAGTAAAGATTTATGGCCTTAGAAACCCTATGGTGCAGTTCTGCTCTGTCCTGCAGGGTGGCTATGAGTTGAAATTGGGCAGTGGGTTTGGTTTTTGGGTTTTAGTGAAATAAAGATAGAGCCACCTTACTATTTTTTGCTGTCTAAAATCTTCCACACTGCATTAATCCTATCCCAAAGCTACTTTTCCCTGTTGCTAGCAAAATCAATGCTTTTCCTAAACAGGAATTGACAGAAAAGAGATCTCTACCTTACTGATTTTGGAAAGGTTGAGGGTTAGGATGAAAGCATGTATTACCTATAACTTCTAGTAATCAGAACAGTATCATCATTGTGGAGGTATATGCTTTAAATAAAATGTCATAATTTCATGTTGGGAAAGCTGTTTAGCTACAAATGTATTTTAAAAATCTCTATTTCTTATAATATCATTGAGTGTGCTAATGTGGAAGAAAAGAGAATTGTCTGTTCTGGCCCTTTTTGGGGGGATTAGTAGAGGAATAGGGTTTTGGTCTCATGGACATAGAGATGTTATTCAACTACCTAGAGATTTTCGTCTATTTCTAGACTCTCTTCTGTTCCCTGGCTCTCTGTTTTCTGTCTTTAAACCAATGCAACACTGTTTGGATTACTGTAGCTTTATGGTAAATTTTGAGGCTGGATACTGTAGTTCCTTCAAATTTATTAATCTTTTTCAAGATTTTAAAAGAACTATTCTAGATTCTTTCCATTTGCATTTAAACTTTAGAGTCAGCTTGTCAATTTCTGTTTTAAAAAAGGCTATTGGGATTATGATTTAGATTGTGTTGAATGTATTGTTTGGAGAAAATTGACATTTTAATAATATTGATTCTTCCTAACCATGTCTGTAATATATCACCCCATTTATTTAGGTTTTCTTCAATTTCTCTCAGCAGAATTATTTGTAGTTTTCAATGTAGAGGTGTTACACATCTTGTTAAATTTATTTTTTTTTAACTATAGATAAGGATTTTGTTTATCCACAATAGTGAGTTTGCTGCTTGCTTTTAACCATTCTTTGCTAAGTTCCTAACATAACGTCTTTAACTTTGTCTCATCAGGAAATATCTTAATTCATTTGACTCTAGGATTCCTTTTTCTGCCGTTGAGTGAAATTTAGAAATGTGCTTCTCCCTTATTTTGGGATGTCTTTTAGGAGAGGGAAGCTTCTTTTCCTTGGGGAATCAAAGAATGATATTCATAGAGTATACATTTTATAAAGGAACCAGTTTCGATTCTTTGGAGAATGTTCATTTTCATGCTACAGTGCATTAGTCGTAATAGTTAGGAAGAATAAAAATGTTGCATTTTATTTGCATGGCCTTTTATAGTGTCCTGTATACATGGAATTTTGAAAACTTTTATTTTCCTGTTGTTTGCTGCTTATATATAGAAATTCAGTTGATTTTTGTATGCTGAGTCCTTGCTGAACTTACTAGTTACAGTGAATGTTTTTAAATTTGCTGTTTAGTATATTTCTGTAGCTAAACAATCATGTTTATGGGAATTGTCTGTGAATGGGAACAGTTTGCCTTTTATTTATTTTTCTTATCAGTATTGCACTGGCTGAGACCTTATACCAGTACCATGCTGAATAGAAAGTGGTAGGATTGGAAATCCTTGCCTTTTTCCTAGTCTTAGAAGGAAATCATTTTAGAGTTTCGCCATTATGTATGATGCTACCTGTAACTTAGGTATATGTGTTTTTTATCACATTGAGGAAGTTTCCTTCTATTCCTGGCTTACTAGTTTCCTTAGACTTTTCATCATGAATTCATGTCAAATTGTGTCACTTTATCTATTGAGATGATCACGTGGATTTTCTTCTTTGTGAATATTGTGGATTTCATTGATTACTTTATTTTTTATAGTTAAACCTTTTATTCCTGGGATAAACCCCACCTGGTTATGAGGATTTTTTTTTTTTAAATATATAGGTGAATTTGATTTGCTAATATTTTATTCAGAAATTTTGAGTGTATCATTATGAGAGCTATTGGTCTGTAATTTTTTTTTCTTGTAATATCTTTGTCAAGTTTTGATATTATGTATACTGGTTCCATGTCATAAATTGGAAAGTTTTTTTTTTTTTCTAAAAACGTTTGTGTAAAATTGTTCTTATTACTTAAATCTTTGATTAGAATTCAGTAGTGAAACCATGTGGGCCTGGAGTTTTCTTTGTTGGGAAGTTTTTTTTTTTAACATCCTTTTACTTTTAAACTTATTTGTTTCTTTGTTCTTAAAATGTGTCTCATAGATAACAAATAGTTGTGTTTGTTTTCTTATCTAGTCTAACAATCTCTGTCTTTCAATTGGAGTTTTTACATATACTGTATATATACTGTACATATTGATATGGCTGGATTTGGATCTGCTGTTTGCTATTTATTTTTTATTTGTCTCATCTGGTTTTTGTTCTTGTTTTAGTATTCAGTTTTGATTCCTCTGTTGACTCTTTAGCTCCTTTTTCATTAGTGGTTGTGCCAAGGCTTACCTCTCACAGGTATGTATCATTAATTTCTCACAGTCTGTATTGTATTATTCATGTAAAATATATGAACATTGCAGTAGTATGGTTGCATTTACCTCCCCTGTCCTTTGTGTTATAATTGTCTTGTATATTACATCTGTACATGTTATAAACCTTATTATATGTCATTATAATTTTTACTTTAAAATGTTGTCTTTTAAAGAAATTAAAAGAAAAAATATGTAATCTTTTATCCTCATATTTACCACCTAGGGTTATTATATGTTGTCATTTTACTTCATCCTGAAGAAATTCTTCAAGCATTTTTGAGTACAGGTCTTCTGACAAAGAATTCTCTTTTGTTTATCTGCAAGTATCTTTATTTCATTGTCTTCTTTTTTTCTAATTTTTCCCCATACAAAAATTTATACATACATTGTTATGTGACTCTAATTGCTCTTCCCATACTGTGACAGCACACTCCTCCTATCCACACCTGATTCCACATGTCCATTCAACCAGCTCCTAACCTTCTCTGCCTTCCCATCTCACCTCTGGACAGAAGCCGCCCGTTTAGTCTCTTATATCTACTTGAGCTAAGAGGCACACTCCTCCTGAGTATCCCTTTATGTCCCACAGTCTAGTCCAATCCCTGTCTGAAGAGTTGGCCTTGGAAATTGTTTTAGTTCTGGGCTGATCATCATTGTGGAGAATCCAGGGGCCATGTTTTCTGGGGTTCCTCCAGTCTCAGTCAGGCCGTTAAGTCTGGTTTTCTTACTAGAATTTCAGTTCTGCATGCCACCTTTCTCCTGCTCCATCCGGGACTCTCTGTTGTGTTCCCTGTAAGGGCGGTCATTGGTGGTAGCCGGGCACCATCTAGTTCTTCTGGCCTCAGGCTGATAAAGTCTCTGGTTTATGTGGCCCTTTCTGTCTCTTGGGCTAATACTTTCCTTGTGTCTTTGGTGTTCTGCATTCTCCTTTGTTCCAGGTGGGTTGGGACCAATTGATGCATCTTAGATGGCCACTTGTAAGCTTTTAAGACCCCAGAGCCACTCACCAAAGTTGGATGCGGAACATTTTCTTAATAAGCTTTGTTATGTCAGTTGACCTAGATGTCCCCTGAAAGCATGGTCCCCAGACCCCT